GGTTGTTTTAGGAGAGCCCACCCTTCACTTGCTTCTTTCCCTTCCAGCAGTCTTGCCCGTGGAATGATTCTCATCATGCCTCTGAGTCTATTAAAGTCGGCCCTACTGAAATCTAACACACATGTGTGGCTATGAACTTCCTTTGTCCCCCACAGCAAAAGGAATTCTAGCAGAATTTGGTCACTTCCCTCTAAGGTCCCCACCACCTTCCCCACGTCTACGATTTTTTTCCTGTTGGTCAATACTGAGTTCTCTTTCACTATTATGCCTGTAAAGATTGAGTTGCTTGGTAGTCAGATTGATGTGAAGCTTAGGCCTTTCAGAGGGCCTAATATCTTTTAAGTACAGGGTTTGAGTTATAGCCTATGCTCCAGTTAATTTAGTGGTGAACGTGGCCCACAGCATATGCTGTCACAAGCAGAAGGCACCTCTTTGCATATGCAGCTGTATGCCATGTGCAACACTGCTTGTTTTTTGTTTTTCTATAGCCCTGGAATCTTAGCTGGGGAAAAGATCTGTCAAGATTCTCTCAGCAGAAACCATACGTTCAATCTCTCAGTTCAAGCGTACGAGATTACCTGCCTTCTTTTAGCAACACATTCCATGCTGTGACTTAAATGGGGGGTGTGTGTTATACCATGCCTTAATATTCTGTTACAGCCTCCTTGCTTTCCCCTTCTGTTACAGCTTCACTTCTGATCTTTAATATGTTCAGAAAGAATGCTGTTTCGGCTTCATTTCCTTAGGAATGATGCCTTACCTGTACATTCAGTTTGGTCAACTAGCTGGGCATTATATTTCTTTTGCATCCTGAGGGAGAAAAATTTCCCCACCCTCAATGTCCTTTTAAAGAAGATTTTAAAAGCTATTTATTTGTGGAATAGCAATGAAAGCAGAATGGTGTCAGTCTCACCATTGAATTTTGCTGTATGACTGTTGTCCTAAAACGTCTGAAGATTGCTCTAAGCCCTGATGTGCAACAGTCCTGTAATGCAGGTATTTCTTGTTTTGCAAGAAAAATCCTTCAGGCAAAAAGGTTACTTAAAAAAACCCAACTTGCTGTTTTGAAAGATTGTGAGCGCAAGTATGGCTTGTGAACATTAACATGCATGAGTAAACTTTTCAAGCCCTTAACTCTGGGTGGGCTCTGAGAATGTGTTTGTTTAATTGAAATGATTAAAAATGAGAGATTTGAGTGGGTATTTTATTGCCAGAAATATAAATGAGGTTTATAAAGGAAAATAGTTTGGTTACGCCGTAAATAAAATAGCCTTTGTTTTCTAGCAGCTGGTGATTCTGTCCCCCTTCCCTTTTTCTGCCTGCTTCAATAATGCATGTATGTGCATAATAATGTCTGTTTCTCCACTGGGACTTAAAACGTGTATTTATCAGTGTTTAAGAAAAAGATCTGTAGAAGCAACAATGTTAAAACTTAACAGTACAAACTTAAAATTGCTTTCCATATTTTGTTTTTCAGTCTTGGCCTGCTTATGAAAATGTTCATAAAAAAATGCAGTTCCTTGCAACATACTTGGAGCTGCCCCGTTTTCCAGATATAGCAGAGGACAGCTTCTTTCATCCAAACGTTCTCTGCATGAAGTATTTAATGGAAGCCAACTTGCCTGGTAAGGCTACCTTGTAGGGTTGGCAACAGCATGGAGAAAAAAAATGTCCAGCCCTTTTAAATAGAGGCTTTAATGTGCAGAAATGGGCAGCTGAAGCTTTTCGTGGTAGGGAGGTAAATAGTATCATCTGCCAAGTAATATCACTTTGAGCTCCTGTTAAGGTGATGGGACTGGGTGAGGTGTGATGGAGCAATGCTAGACTTTTGAAGTGTCTACTTAAATTTTAATTGATTTTATTCTCAAATGCCTTCCCCAAGGACAACAACTGAAGCACCAGCCACTCTTCTTTTTAAATAGCCATTATCACATTGATGGTGGCAGAGTCCCATTCTCTTAGCGTGTGACTAGAATTCTAAGGAAGGATCTTTACTAGATCACACTGTCTGTCTAGTTCAACATCCAGTTTCTTCCAGTTTCTAACAGTGGACAGCCTAATGCTTCTGGAAAGCCTACAACCAGGTCTGAAGGGAATGCCTCTCTGTGTTGTTTACCCCAGCACCTGGTAGTTCAGATGTATGCTGCTTCTGAACATGGAGGTTCCACTTAACTATTATGGCTAAGTAGCTTCTGATAGACCATTTTAAATGCTGGCTTGGACCCAGCAGAGTCTCTTCATGGGAGAAGGATTTCTGATTTTTTTGCCTCTCCTCCCTTCATCTGCTGCAGCCCAAAATTCTTCCTGAAATATCGTTCCTGGAGGAATTCCACGAACAGCATTTCTGAAGAAGTGAGCAATATCTGAAGAAGTGAGCAGTGACTCATGAAAGCTCATACCCACCACAAATTTTGTTAGTCTTTAAGATGCTACTGGACTCTTGCTCTTTTCAACGGCATTTCATTGGGCATTTTGGGTTGCAGTGGGAGGGGAGAGGGGAGAAAGTCATGCTATGTGTGTGGAAATCCTGTCCACAGAAAGGCTGCATTGGATCCAAGATGCTATCTCTCTGGAAATTCTACCTCATTAAGTTTTGTGTGATCCTTGGAGAAAAGGTAGAATAAATGTGTAACCAATAAAAATGCTCTTAAGAGTGTCTTAACTTTTCCCCCTCTGGTATCAAAACCATTAAGAGAAAGGCACTTCCTGAGTCACATTGTAAACTGATTTGTGGTTTGAAGTCTTGTTTCAGTATCTGCTTAAGGATTAAAAAAAAAAGTTTCCATTGATTTAATTTAATGCAGTGTCAAGCCCACAAACTCCAATTTCTCATCTTGACTGCTGGGTTATGCTAGCAGAAATATAAAACAGTTAAATACTGCTCACCAAGTGAATCATCCTACTTGCTCTTTGACCAAAGGTGGGTTATAACTGGGCAGAAATAAGGTACTCCTCTCTACTCCTCATTCCCTTACAGTGCAATCCCGTGCAGAGTTAAAAGGTGAACTAAACCCACTGAAATCAATAGTCACAAGCTGAAGCAACTCTGAATTGATAGAACTGCATTATTAATGTCCTAACATCTTAATTTAGATACTCTTACCTTACTTTATAAGCACTTTTTACCATGTATTCAGCCAACAAGAATATTTGAGTGTTTAACCATGCTTTTAACATCTGTACTTCAGGTATGTGGCTTGCATCTCAGAAAGGTGACTAGCTTGTCATTAAGTAAACATGACCATTATTATAGCTATGTTGTGCAGTGTTTTGAGTTCAGTGTTTTACTTTGACCATATGTTTTGTATACAATGGCTTTTAAAAACAAATAGTTACTGTTCAATCGAGTATCAAAATTTCTCATGTAATATTCAGTATTAATTCATTTGGAATTCCCAGTCATTTAAACTTGGATGAGAGCAAGGTTGTGAGGTTGATTCATCTTACCCCAGTTTCACTTCTCTTCACTTCTTAGTGATAACTGTAGTGTAGCTTTATGTCTTCACTGGCTAATCATGGTTAGCTTTCAGTCAGGATTTGAAGCTGATTCTTTAGAGACCTGGTTGAAGTTAACCATAATTAATGTTAACCTTGGTACTACTCCTTGATAAAAGCTGATAATGGAGAGAGGAGATTGGCACTGGAAAGGGTAACAGAATGGGCCTATCTCATAGCCATGGTTAAGAAATTGGGAACATTGTGCCTGCAATGTATACAAACAGACTTACTCTTTTAAAATCACTAAGCTCAAACTGATCCAACTTGAATGATTGATTAGTACAAAAATAATCTGTGTTGGACATTTTAAAATATTGACTAACAAATCCCCATGGACAAGTATAGAGCAAGGAGGGAAAGGGTTGTGAGATTTGGCCTCATTGGGGCCTTAGGCTGTAATAAGTTAGTGAATTAAAGACTTACCTGTATTTGCTTTAAAGGCACCACAAAAAACTGTCTATGGTTTATGCTACATATGAATGTACCTATTTTCACAGAGGCTTATCTGAATGTATTTTAGTAATTAAACATATTTTACATTCAGAAATCCGTATATAGGGAAAGTTTAAATGGGATGGCCAGTCCTGCTGTTGAGGACAGTGCCGGCACAGGAGTAGTACCGCTGGACCATTTCCTAAAGTGAAACCACACAGCAGGGCTGCATAGTGTGTGACCACACCAAAGTCACTAGCAGCTGTGTTCACATCACAGGTGCACAATGGCATGGAAGTGATAAAGAGGGGGGAACCAGCCAACCATAGGGTGGCAGTTGGCCCCAGGGAAATGTGGGGAGGGTGGCAGACTCATAGCTATGCCCCCCTTAAAGGTACAGGCCCTGCTAAACAGAACACGGGAAGCAGTAGGAGAAGGGGGCCTCACAGCCTTGCATATGGTCACCCATATTAGGTATTAGGGGTTATGCGTTGGACTGGTTCAAATTATTTCTTAAGGACTGGACTTAAAGGGTTGCTGTTGGACACTAGCTATTATCAGTGTGGGACCTATTATGTGGGGTTCCACAAGGCACAATCCTATCCCGCATGATTTTCAATCTCTATGCAAAGTCCTTAGGACAAATCATTTGTAATTTGGGGGTTGTTTGTCATCAATATGCTGACAATACCGAGCTCTATATATAGTTACCCAAATCTCCTAGTGATGCAGTACAGGTCCTGAATTGCTGCCTGGCTGTTGTGGTAAAAAGACTGAAGAGCAAACAAATTGAAACTAAACCCTAGAAAGACAAATAATGTTTGTGGGGAAGAAGAAGAGTTGGATTTAGTCTCAGAGTGTTTTACAACCTCCTTCGCTTCCTCTCCCCACAACAGACACCCTGTGAGGTAGATGGGGCTGAGAGAGCTGTGAAAGAACTTCTCTTGAGAGAACAGCTCTGAGAGAACTGTGACTGACCCAAAGTCATCCATCTGGCTGCATGTGGAGGAGTGAGGAATCAAACCTGGTTATCCAGATTAGAGTCCGTCGCTCTTAACCACTACACCAAACTGTAAAGTGGAGATCCTGAAGGACATTGTGCTTACAACCTTCGATGGGGTTGATCTGACCTTTTCTGACACAGTTAAGAGCCTTGGTGTTAAACAGTATCCAGCATTAATGCTGGAGAAGGAAAAATATTTTCTTGCAACCCAGTCTGGCCTGGAAGATGGTCCCCCTATCTTGATATGACTGATCTAATCACCTGGATCCATACCACAACAACATTGTACATTGGTCTCCCCTCAAAATAAACTAAGAGATTCCAGTTGGTACAGAGTGCTGCAGCTTAGTTGTTATTGGGAGGTGAAGTGTGCATATTACTCCCATTCTGCATTCACTCCATTGGCTATCAGTTACCAGGCCAAATTTAAGGTCTCTTGGCTTTCAGTAAACTGTGCAAAACTGAATTATTACAGGGCGTTGTTACCCAGGTAATAAGCTGTACTGTAAAAAAGAATGGTTCAGAAAGTTGTTTTGGTAAGGGTTTAGGGATTGTGGACTATACTACTGAATTCAGTTTGCACTGTCTGTTGCTGTGAGTAGGATCCTACTGTATAATTTTTGCATTGTTTAAGATGTTGTATTAATACTTAAGCTTTGTTTTAGCTCTGTTAATATTTGTGTTCCATTCCAGATTTCTGCAGTCCAAATCCTATTGCATTGTTTATTTGATGCTCCATCCTGTTGATTGTGGTAACTTGCTCTGTGTAATCCACCTTGAATCCCAGTGAGAAAGCCAAACTATAAATCTCTCCTTATATATAATTGAGTAGTGGGGTGGCACTTTCTAGACATTCCACATGCCCCTAAATCAGCTGGCTCCATGATGTGTCACTCAGAAGCTGTCCCTATCCACTGGCTGAATTGCCTGAGTCCTGCCTACAGAGGCGGCACCTGCCAAAACTTTCCTCAGAAGACGGTTGCTTCACTCCAATGAACACAGCTACTGTCTTCGCTCAAACGGCTGTCTTTCCCGACAAAGACACTTCTCCTGCTTGGCTCCTCTGTGGGACTAGGTTTTCCCTCAGTGGCTGTTGGTAGGCAACCAAGCTTGGTTCTGTCAGTAAAAAGACAAAGGAAGGAAACCCTTTCCAGACATTTGTGAGGAACTCATTGGGGCCAGTCCTGACTAGGGTTGCCAGCTCCAGGTTGGGAAATTCCTGGATATTCTTTGTCTAAGGAAGCCAGTCTAAGGAAGCCAGAGTCTGGGGAGGGGAGAGGTTTCAGCTGATAAGAATGCCATAGAGCCCACTGTCCAAAGCAGTTATTTTCTCCAGGGGGGAAGAGATTTGTTGTCTGGAGTTCAGTTGCGATTTTCGGCGATCTTCAGGCTCCATCTGGAGGTTGGCTACCCTAGGCGTAGCAGTTAGCGCTTCGGAGCAGGGTCTGCCAGGCAGAGATCAGTTCCCCTATGGCATTATACCCTGCTGAGTCCTTCCTCTCCCCAAATGCTGCCCTCCACAGGATCCGCCCCCCAACTCTCCAGGTATTTCCCTACTCAGAGCTGGCAACCCTACTTTCCCCTCAGTGCCTGTTGCTAGGCAACCAAGCTTGGTTCTCAGTAAAAGGCCCTTTCCACGCCTAGTTTGGCCTTTGGGAGAAAACTCATTGTGGCCAGTCCTAGCAGTCAGCGCTTCAGAGCAGGGTCTGCTAGACCCAGGTTCTTGCTGTGGAAGTCGAATGGGTGATTTTGGACCAGTCACAGACTTTCACCCTAACCTACTTCACAGGGTCATTGTGCAAGTCAAAAGGGGGAGAAGAGAATGATGTAAGCTGCTTTGGTCCCCTTGCAGAGAAAAACTGTACTTTTCCTCCTGAGGAACCATTGTTGCCAATCTCCAGATGAGGGCTATAGATCACTCAGAATTACAACTACTCTCCAGATGCCAGACATCAGTTCCCCTGGAGAAAATGGTGGGCTCTGTGCCCTTATACCCTGCTGAGATGGCCCCCCATGACAGCCAATGTGTTGTAGCAGTTAGGGCTTCAAAGCATGGTACAGGTTGCAGGTGTGTGTGGGGGAGACAGAAAGCTGACTAGTGAGGGGCAGATAACGGCAGGTTGATGCTTAGCTGGGAAGGAGATAGAGTTGCCAACTCTAGGTTGGGAAATTCCTGGAGACTTGAGAGGTGGAGCCTGGAGAGGTTGAGGTTTGAGGAGGGGTGAGACCTCAAACAGGTACAATGCCATAGATTCCACCCTCCAAACCAGCCAGTCCCTCCTGGGGAACCATTGTTGCCAATCTCCAGGTGGCGGCTGGAGATCACTCAGAATTACAACTGCTCTCTAGGAGGGAGGGGGGAGAAGATGGAAAGCTGAAGTCAGAGGGGCAGATAAAGGTAGGTTGATGCTTGGATGGGAGGGAGGGTTGCCAACTCCAGGTTGGGAAATTCCTGGAGATTTGAGGGGTGGAGCCTGGAAAGGGTGGGTGGAAAGGTTTATGGAAGGGTGGGACCTCAGACAGGTACAATGCCATAAACTCCACCCTCCAAACCAGTAATTTCCTCTTGGGAAACTATTGTTGCCAATCTCCAGGTGGGCCAAACAATAGGGACCCCAAGCCTATATGATAATCAGAAATACAAACCGCAAGGGTAGACCATAAAAAAATTCACAAATTTCAAAAGTTACCAGTAGACATCAGTCTATTGCAACATAATTATATTAAGTCAATTGATAAAGTAGAATTGTTGGTCACAATTCAAAAGCACAAGTTGCAATACAAACATTTAACCAGAGAAGATATGACAATTCATAGGTAGAAGAATCCAACAGGAGACTCCTATATATCCTTTCATTATAATAGTGTCCATAAGACCTCAAAGTCCACAAACAAGGCAGAGTATATCCTATAGCACAAAGGAACTTCTGCAGCCGAAAACGTCCTTCCTAGGTATTAACAGCAGGAGGTTTGTGATCTTTGAGAACCACAGATTCCATTTGAGGCATGAGCTGTGCTAGATTATTATGGAAATCAGGTTGCATTTTTCAGCCGTATAACTGAGGAAGAATGCTTTGAAACATCTGGCATACCTAGGAAGGACGTTTTCGGCTGCAGAAGTTCCTTTGTGCTGAAAGAATATAGAGGAGTCTCCTGTTGGATTCTTTTTCTACCTGTGAATTGTCATACCTTCTCTTGTTAAATGTTTGTATTGCAACTTGTGCTTTTGAATTGTGACCACCAATTCTACTTTATCAAATCTCCAGTTGGAGGCTGGAGATCACTCAGAATTACAACTGCTCTTCAGGTTGCAGAGATTAGTTCATCTGGAGAAAATGGTGGACTCTGTTATTATACCCTGCTGAGGTCACCACAGCAAATTGGCCCTGAGTGCCCAAAGCCGGGGCACTCTCCCAAAGCCTCTTTCTAGAGCTCGTATTTTATTTCCACAACGGGCCTTATTCCTAGTAACATAAATAAAGACATACCTTGGGGATATGCTAGTATAGCTGCTAGTTGGCTCCCTTTTGCCCCAAGAGTGCACTGAAAGTCATTGTTGGAGGGAATGCATAAACCATTGTTATGTTTTTGATTTAAAAGTGTAGGTCAACAAACTCTACATATTTCAGAATATAGATGCTAACAGCCCCACTGGAAACTGATGAGGTATTTGACTCTCATGACATCCTTGCAAACCCGGAGAAATGTGGAATAATGTTTCTTTGAATCTTGGAAAATACTTATTCAGTGATATGAGGCTTTGCAGCCTCTTTTAACACAGTGTAAAAGTAAGAATGGAAATAGTTTTTAAAAAGATTAAATTTAGTGTTACAAACTAGCCCATGGATTGTTAACACCAGTACTGAGCAGTACTTCACACACTCGGTTTCTACAGTACATAATGATTCAACCGAACTTAAATTTCATTGATGTCAAATGGAGCATTAAACGGTCTCACACAAGTGTTTATTTTTGGCTGAATTGTGTCCAACATGATCAGCATAAGCAAGTCTGGCTGTTTATTGCAGCACATTTAAAATTCCTGATATGGGACATTTGCAAAAGTGTAACATTGGCTACATTTCAGATATGTTTCAGGGTGGTCACGTAATACTTGTTAAGGTGCTAATGGGGAACTCTCCAGTTTCACAGCAGACCCCATCCCTTTCATAGGAGCATGAGCTGGCAGAGTGCTTCTCTAGGAGCAGATGGCAAAGAAATCTTTTAGGTAACCAATAATGTTGTGTTCTTTGAGATGTTCTGTTGTTGTCCTCTGTCTTACCTGAAATATTTGCTCTATGGTTGTAAGCATTTTTGCTTTGTAATAAAATTCTGCTTGCTTCTGCAACTTCTAGGGTGCATGTGATTGCAACTTTAACACTTCTTCAAACACTGCACAGTTATTACATGGCCCATATTCAGGTGATCTGCAAGCATATGCAGATTCCTTCACGGAACATTCATTTCTGAATAGGAATTTTTATGTTGAATTAGTCCTCTGTTTGATTGATTTTGTTTGTTTTTGATTCATTCAGATGACATGCACAATTGGACTTGTAGAGTGGTTGAAGAAATTGGCATTGGTGAAGTGGACTTTCTGACATTTCAGCCTGGGAATAAATTGGTTCGGAAAGTGAAATATGATATTATCGCAGTAGCTGTTGTCATAGTGGTGCTGAAAATTCTATTTTTGTTGAATGATGAATATGAATGGTAAGCATTAATTATTACATAATCAAAGAAAGCACACTAGCTTGCTTCATCTCAGGATCACAAACACATTTAACAAATGTTCTTCTTAATTCCCATTAGCTAAACAGATGAGGTTGGGTTAAGTGAAAGTAAAGGTACCCGTGCTTAGTGGAAGTGTTCCATTTTTAGTAAATAGGTATAGCATTTGGAATACTTCTGTCTCTTGTAGATAGAAAAGCAGCTCTAAAAACTCTAAAATACAGCTCTAAAAGGGATTGGTTTTTTATTGTGCACAGGGCTGGTTGAAATGTTTACATCCCACGCAACAAAATTGAAACCTTTGGCGGCTTCAGGCCCGAAGCAAAGATTGTGGAGCATTTGTCCATAAAAGTGGTTTTGGGTGTTTTGGGCAAGTAAAGTTTCAATAAGGGCTCGGAATCTGATTTTTTTTCAGAGTAGACATGATGAGGTCTTGACATTCCTGATTAGAGCAGTTCCAATTTATTTTCAGGCAGCTGTCGAACTACGCTGACAAGAGAAACAAAAACAACCAAGAAGGTACCAAACGTTTCATTGGAAGCCTGGTATACCGTATATACTCGAGTATAAGCCGACCCGAGTATAAGCCGAGACTCCTAATTTTACCACAAAAAACTGGGAAAAAGTATTGACTCGAGTATAAGCCTAGGGTGGGAAATGCGAAATGCAGCAGCTACTGGTCGTCCGCCTCGGTCTCCTCTCTCTGACGTCACTGGTTGCTAGACGCCAATCAGCAGGCGATCTAGCAACCAGTGGAGGCGGGGCGGGCAGCGGCGGCTTCTAGTGTTCTGCTGAGCGGAGGAGGTCTTTTAACTCCGCTGTTATTATTGGCACGTCAGTCTCCGCTCTCCTCTCTCTTACGTCACTGGTTGCTAGACGCCAGTCGGGAGGCGATCTAGCAACCAGTTTAGGCAGGCGGGCTGCAGTGACTACAGGCTGATATCTGGCTGCGGAGCGGCGGCATTTTCTGGGGTCATTTTTTTTCTCACTCGAGTATAAGCCGAGGGGGTGCTTTTTCAGCACAAAAAATGTGCTGAAAAAGTCGGCTTATACTCGAGTATATACGGTTCTGCAGTGCTTACACAATGTGAGAAAGTTTTATAGGTTTATTTAGTGGACTGGGAATTTAAAAATGAACTATCAACCCAATCAGATATGTGGACAAAAATGGAGGAAATCTGGGCATGAGATTTGGCAGATACAGAAGGGGCGTATATAATAAATAACAAAAAGAAACTGAATTGTTAGGAACATAAGAGAAATCCACAATGGCAGCTGCTGATATAATGAAGCCCATCTCGTATTTGTATAAAGGGATCGGGGATGGATTGCTTCATCTCCTCAGTCCTTATTTTTGTTCTTGCACAGATTTGTTCAGGTTTCCCACTCTTTTTAACCAACACCTCTATTATCTTCCAGGTTTTGGTCAGTGATAGTTCCTATCCATCCAAGGTATCTTAGGGCAGGGAAGAGCATTGTGTCTCCAGGCACAATGCAGATGACATGGGCTGAATCACTCATTAGAGAAATCCAGTATGAACGTGATACACGGGTTTCTGCCAATAAAAACAAAGCTCTATAATTCTAAATAGGTAGTCATAAACTATCAAGAAATATTTTGTGAATCACAGTTTAAAGAAATCCAGTATAGATAATATAGTAGCTAAAGTTTTGTGTAGTTGAGCTCAAAATAAAACTCAGAGGGTCATCTTGGGTTGGTCATTTCTCTATCAAATTGATTTTGTATGGTTATTATGAGACCGCAGCTGCTATCCTGAGAACACTTTCCTGGGAGTAATGGAATACAATGAGACTGACTTCTGGGTAGAGCTGCTTAGGATTTCTCCCTATAGTACTACCCTGAGTTCCATGAAGGAAGAATGGGGTTCAGATTAATAACAGATACTTCTCCTGCAGGCTGTCCAGTTTTTGATATCAGGAAATGGTACATGGTTGTAAAGAAGGCTATGGATGAGGAGCAGAAGAAACTGGAGGAAGAAAGAGTCAGGTAGGTGTTAAAAAAGTATTCTCTCAGCCTAACCTACCTCACAGGGTTGTTGTAAGGATAAAAAGGAGGAGAGGAGAACAGTGTAAGCTGCTTTGGGTCCCCATTAGGGAGAAAAGCAGGGTACAAATGAAGTGAATAAATAAATAATAAATAGTGATCATCTATATGTTTAATTTAGAGAAACAAAGCATTAGCTGAGTGACTAAGGCTTGGGGATAAGCATTGAAATGTGTAGAGCAAATTTTCTGTTTGGAAATTGGTTTTATAATTCCTAAACCCTATGGATAACAAGCAGAACCCCTCAACAAAATGTAATACCACTTGTCCTGGGGGGGGGGGAATAAGGATTGCGGGCATTTTTGAAGATCTAACCATTGGCTGTGATCTCAATAGTAGGACAGTAATGTCTTTTAAAAAGTGCTACTCTGTAATCCACATTGTTTTGGAGTGAAGTAAAAATGTAAGCCATGATTACAACAACATTTATATTGATTTCCATAATATTGCATAGCTAAAGGCTCAGATCAGACATCATGATTTGTGTTTCTGTATATAGGCAAGCCTTGGGTCCTGAGATGCTCAGGAGAAAGTTGGGCATATAGATATGTTTAATCAATTAATTAAACTGACTGTGTGGCTTCATATTCCTTCTGTCCAGCCCACTAGTCTCGAGATATGGTGGCCTCCATAGGTATGTCAGACTACAGTTAGCACAAGCAGTCCATCCCCCTTGCATGAGCTGAAGTACCTTCCATTTTGTGCAAAGTCAATTTCAGATCCATCCCTCTCTCTAGACATTGTTGTGTCTGCTGTGTGTTCTAGGTATAACTGGGCCCTCTTTGGTTAGGGATTTTGGTGGGTCCCTAATAATAGACATGCAGATCTTTGCTTGAACAGGGTCCAAGTGAAACATAATTAGCTGGGGACCCCCTAGCAAAGAAGCTGGGGGCAAGTGAGCCAACTTCTGAAACTTGCTTTGTAAAGCTAGGGGTGTACAAAAAGCCTGGTTTTTTCCCCAGGTTCGGGTATATTAAACCCAAAAAATATTGGTATTTCCCAGTATTCCCAAATCCCAATACCAGTATGGTATTCAGATTTGGTAAATATTTGGGAATCCGGATTTTTTTCAGCTCCATCATACTCTATGGAGATCATTATAGTTAATGGTCCCCATAGGATATAATGGAGAATCGATCTGGGGCTCTGGGGGGCTGTTTTTGAAGTAAAGGTACCAAATTTGCAGCATAGCTACTTGTGCCTCCTAAAAAAAACACCCCAAGTTTCATAAAGATTGGACCATGGGGTCCAATTCTATAGGTCCCCAAAGAAGGTGCCCCCATCCTCCATTGCTTTCAATGGAAAGGGGAAAGGCATTTGAAAAGATCACAGTCCCTTTAAATGCTTTCTGCAAGCCACATGGTCTGTGAGTGAACTCCGAAGGCATTTAAAGGGCTTGCTGTCTCTTTAAATGCCTTCTCCAAGTGGCGAGTTCACCCAGAAGGCATTTAAAGGGACTGCAGTCCTTTTAACTGCCCTCTAATTTTGACTGTCCAGTGACTATTTTCAGGATTTTTTGGGCTTGGCCATTTTGGATAGCCGAAATTCAGCCCCAAACAATACCCAGCTTAAAAAATACCCAAAAAATACCGGTAAGGTATTTTTCAGGTATTTTTTCAGCTCAGTTTATCCTGAATGCACACTTTTAGTAGAAACAGTTTCTGATTATTTTTTTTGACAGATAAGCTAACATGGGGTATTGTATTAGAGACATCTAGGCCGAGTTCAGACTGGCAGTTTGCCCCGATATAGGCACGAGCCAGAAACGTTTCACAAACGGATTAAAGGGGCCGTTCACACAGGCACATCTGTCAGGCATTCCCCAGCCGTACTCAACCCGTCTTGTAACACTTCCCTCCCAAGTTTAAAAGATACCAGGTGAAAGTGGTATCAAACCCTGGAAAGCACGATGATCCCGTGTCCATCCCACTTCCCGGAAGTGTGAACACGAAAAGCCGTGATCCGGTAGGGATGTGCATATGTGCACGAGCGTGTAAGCGCACATAACCGGATTACCAGAAAAAGCCGCTTACAGCCACGCCTCCGGGCCAACAGTGTGAACACTCCCTTGCACCTCCTCCCTGGTATGCTCCCGCATCCATCGGTGCAGTGTCACTGGGAAAACCCGGAACAGTTTGTTCTGGGTCTTTTTTGCCATGACTCCCTCCCGCTTCAGACTGCTAGTCTGAACTCAGCCCTAGTTCCTGGTGGATGGCTGAAGTACTAGCATTGAGGGTGGACCCAGCTCAGCCTTAGGTCCAGAGTCCTTCATGCCTCAGTCTTCCCACTCTTTAACTCCATTTTGTAATCTGGTTCTCTACTTGAAAGGAAGAGCCAGACAGGCAATTCTCTAGGTTGATTTGAATGGTCATCTGGGCATGCTGATTCTGGAGTCCAACTCTGGATCAGCTTTGTTCTGAAACCCTGGAAGACCAGTTTTTTGTTGCTTGTATTCTGTCTCTTGTGTCTATGTGAGTGTGACATGTGCTCTATTGTTATTGAATGGAGAATTTGCAAATTCTGAATAATCTTAATTTTAAAAAAACCTTGTAAAATAGAGTTAGTAATCTGTACTTATCTAAAAATTGATCAAATAGAAAAATGTCCCTATGCACAGTTCACTAATCAGACAGAGGGGTATTGATTTAAGAGCAAGTCATTTTTGCACTTGTTGAAGGAATAATCAAATTTAGCAGGTTTCTAGGAGTATTTATATGTAAAGAGTTTCCCCCCACAATATTTCAACTTTTTTCTTCTGCAGGTATTTATGGAGATT